ATATATATGTATATATATAATCATACTGTATGTAACCCTTTGAGATTGGCTTTGTTTTTTCAGTCAGCATAATTTCCATGAGATTCACCCAAGCTGCTGAGTGTATGAATAGTTCGTGCCCTTTATTGTGAAGTGATATCCCATGGTATGGATATACCACAGTTTGTTTAACCATTCACCCTTGAAGGGCATGTGGATTATTCCTAGTTCTTGGCTATTACACATAAAGCTGGTATGAACACTTACATATAGAATATTGTGTAAATACCAGATTTATTGGCTTTGGAATAAATGCCCAAGAGCCCAGTTGCTGGATTATATGATAAGCACATGTTCAGCTTTGTAAGAAACTGTCAAAATAGTATCTGTACTATTTATATTTCTGCCAGAAATTTATTAGTAATCTATTTTCTCCATATAGTCATCAGCATTTGATGTTCTCACCATTTCTTTGATTTTAGCCATTATAATAAGTGTGTAGTGCTACCTCATTGTGGTTATAATTTGCATTTCCATAATGGCTAATAATGTTGACCATCTTTTCACGTGCTTGTTTGCTTGATGTTTGTGTTTAACCTGATTTCACCTAAAAATGTTAGTGTGGACAGGAGATGGGATTTGACTTGAAAATTGAAGCTCGGACAGATTTTGATTCCCAAACCCAGTCCTGAATAGATAAAAGAGAGCTGGCAATTAGCTCCATTGTTTATTAGATTTCTAATATGTTCTTCTAAAGCAAGGGCATTTTAGTCAAATATAATCACCCCTAATTATAATAGCATTCCTCTGAGTTAGATAGAAAGACTGATGAAATTTTTTTTGGGGGGGGGTTCAGTTTTATATTAGGAAGCATATCTTAATTTTAGGCATTCCTTATGAGTTATCATTGTTATACATATTATTTGAGATACTGATTGGCCTCTTTAATCTTTAATAATCTATTTACAATTAAAAGTATATTCATGTCTTATCTCTTTGTAAATTTGTTTGAGGGCACTTGTTTGTGACAGAAAGTGCATTTACAAATGCATTTTGTTTCAGTTTTAGATTATTTTAGAAAAAGAGGTGATGCTGCTTAGGCTCTGAAAATAGCTAAAAACAATTACTTTCACATTTTGTTTTCTTTCCAAATAGACATTTTGTCTCCTTCCTTCAAATGTGTTCCCTTTATCTTCAACAGGTTGATTTAGTGAATATCGGAAGCACTGACATAGTAGATGGAAATCACAAATTGACTCTTGGTTTGATTTGGAACATAATCCTCCACTGGCAGGTAAGAATCCTGATGAATGTGTCATTTTTGGGTAACATGTTGCTAATTCTTTCTTTCATTTTTACTCTTGACCTGCAAAACAAACGTATATATATCTCCATCCCTAACAATATAAAGCCCATCTCCATAATGCTTCTTTTTAAATTGGCTCAACTAAGGTCATTTGAGATGTGAAGGATCAGCATATTATAAAAAAGGTTCCAGTGCATTTGCAGGAATATTTTTCACAATTTTATTTTACTGAGTAGAGATAAAGCAAAAAAGACAAGTTTCATCAACAGGTTAATAAAAATATTTTTCACAAATATGCATCTTCTATAACTTACCTAAAAGTGAATCTACATAGTTTTGTAAAAAGAAAGGTATTTTTCCTGTTAATCACTACCAGATGAAGCAGACTTTGTGAATCTTGTATATTCTCAATTAACATTAATGCTAATAAAAATTAGTGGGATATGACTATCTGTATGAGATATATGTTATACATATAAACCGACTTCATTATCTGATTTGGAAATCACATTTTTTTTTTCTGAACCATCCTAGCATAGGGTCTTCTGAATGCCTACATATATTAGATCTCTGCAAAATAGATCAAAGGTCATTTGGTTTAGTGGAAAGAGTATACTTTTTTTTTTTTTCAGTCAGACTAACATGAACTCAAATTTTAACTCCTCCATTTACCATCTTAGTAATATTTGATATAATGCCATCCCTGTCTGGACCATAATTCCCTCACTGTCAAAATAGAAAAAGTAATAATTAACTTGTACATTTCTTGTCAGGATTAAATGAGATAATACTCATAAAGCACTCAGTACAATGCACCATTTTCATTAGAGGTGAATCATATGAATAACTTTGATTGCTTAGAGTTTTTCACTCATATTTTAAGAATTTGGAGGATAATTGAGATGTCTGTTCTTTTTACTAGCAAAGATCACTTTTTTATAAAGCAGCTTTTTTTGAGATGTAATTTATATATCATAAATTTGCCTGTTCTAAGTGTAAAATTCAAAGGATATCAGACTGATTTAGTTCTGTTGCCCAATGCTTCTCAAACTGTTTTGAGGATGGAATCGTTTTCCCCCACCCCCAATTCATATGGATATTTAGAGTCGTACAGCTGTCACAACAATCTAATTTTAGCACATTTTCACCACTCTAAAAATAAATCTCATGTTCATTTGTAGTCACCCCTCACTCCCTCCCCTCCACCCTAGGCAACCATTAATCTATTTTCTGTTTCTATATGTCTGCTTTTTTGGATATTTCATGTCAATGGAATCATATAATATGTCTTATTTTATATCTGCCTTCCTTCATTGAGCATAATCTTTGAGGTTCATCCCTATTGTAGCAGATACCACTACTTCATTTAGTAGGGTTGACTTTTAACTTGAATTGTAGGTTGGTCCTGCTCAGAGTCAGACAGCATATAGACCAGAGGTATACATACTCAATGCTGCAGCCATATTGTTCTCTCAATTGGTCTCCGTCCCCATATCTTTTTATTCTAAGCACTCTGAACAGGCTCCATCCTATTTCACAGCAACATGGAAATAGAGAACAACCATAGTGGCTGACAATAGAGACTAGCTCATAAAAACCTCAAATGAGCCCAAGATTCCCAATTCTGGCCCTTTTCATACAGTAATAGCATCAAATAAAACCAGCAAGGCAACGCAGGAAACTTACCCAACTGGTTTACTTCAGTTGCTCAGTACTTCTCAAACTATCTTGAAAAAAGAAGTTTCCTCCCTTTTCCATTGTATGTAAATTACAATAAAACTGAAGCATTATAAAAGTGAAATAAGACACATAAAAGCCAAGCCTCTTTTTTTTTATCGTGAAATTCAACAGACATAAATAGACTTTGTAAAATTGCTACAGAAGTTTCTAATGGACTATCAATTGTTTTATTTATCTTATGACCTGGTAAAAAATGGTTCATGGAGAGATGCCAGCTTGCAGAAAACACTTTGAGTTGCACAGATTTTGGTTGTGACAAAGCCAGCAGGAGAACTTAGCCCTGCCCATAGCCCCAAAAAGTGATTTTAATTGTATTTATCACCAAAACTGTTGTTACCATGGGGGCAATCTGAACTCCGGCGCTGCCCTAGTAACACTGGAAATTCTATTCTTTTCGCTGTCATAAAGACGATTCCAATACAGTGAGAGTTATGAAAGGTAATATTTATTAGAGGCACGTTTTGAAGTAGAAACAGGTCATGCCTAAAACTAGCTATAACCACTTGGAAACGAAAATACGCTTCCTGTGAGGAGCAGGTTAAAGCAAAGAAAGAAGGCTGTAACCCCGTGGAAGGGGGAGGTCTGTATAATATTAGAACCGAAATAGGTGATTACAAAGGCGTTCCTAAGTGATCGGCCCGTGAGGTCATTTTAATTGATACTTGGCTGCTATATAATTCTCTGCCTACTGTGCATGTGCTTACCCAGAATTCAGTCTGTTATAATTAGATTCATGAACTTCCTGGCATAGGAATGATGCTATAATAATGGTATAATGAAGCTGAGGTTATGGGCAGGTTAGGGTAGTACCTTCAGATTAAACCAAATATAGATTTATGGCCCTCCAGTCCTTTGTCTCTCAGGATGCAGGAGTAATCCTTTAACTACAAATGAGGTATTCTTCTGGTAGTCTCTGGGCTGTCTCTGGGCTGGGCTTCCATTCCTTTGTCCCCCTGTCTCTCATGTCTGACTAACCACATAACACTGTTTCTCATATGATCTCACCCTTTCTTATCTTCTCAAAACCCTTTCCAACTCCATCTCAACTCATGCAAGATAGAGTTTTAAAACTACCCTGTTTGATATTTTCTTCATCTGCTTGTGAGCCTGCTCCTTTTTTATTGTTAGCACTCAGAGGGAGCTTTTGTAACCAGGAATACCAGAAGGAATGCTTTTGCAGCTTTTCCTTGTCTGAGACCTCTGTTGTTTTCCATCTATGTCCTTGAATCACTATATCTTTGTGATTGCAAGGACCCAGACTCTTCCCAGCCTCTGCCTCCTTATCTTATCTCTTCTAACACACTGCCCTGTTCTGCTAAAACTACTAAGCACACTTCAAAAAAAAAAAATTTCTCCCGCTCAATACTTCTCATCATAACCCAAAGAATCCCAAAAGATATTTTTGCCAAGAGTACATATTTGTCTTCCTACTAGATAGTCAAAGAAGCCCTTGAATCTCAGCAAAGATTAAAGGACACTCTGGCCAACCTAATGTACTTTCCAGATCTATCAGATTATGAATGACATTAAAAGATGGAAAGATGTGAATCTTTTGTTCCAGTGCCACATACTTACTATGTTATTAATACTGCTGTGGAGGACTTCTCTTTGAACTTGTAAAAACTCAGAAATGCCAACCCTATCTCCTCTGTCATTGTTTTCCCAATTTCCATTTAAAATTGTTAGCCCAAGAAATAGTGTCTATATTGAGGAGTAAGTAGCTTTGACAAAATTGTGAAGCAGACAACGTGTTTTAGCATCATTTTCTTCTTTCTTTTTTAAGTGCAGAATATCCTTTTTAGGGTGGCCAGCTTGGTTCTGATAACCAGCTGGAGATAAAAACATATTCTGTTAAGAGTGATGTGCTATCAGAGGTCAGGTCCCCAACTTTGCTGGCTAACTCAAAGGAAAATTCTCAATTTCAGGGCTGCTTCACACTGGATTGTTGATATTATTTATTATTTGTACAACATCAGACCTTCTTTGTCTGGTTAACCTCTAGTCACTTTTTGAAATTACTGCTCAAAGACATTTGTTTTTTGTTTTTTTCCTTTTAATAACAGATGTATAGCTGTATGTACAGACACATTTGTTTAAATTGATTTCTTCTCTCTTAAGGACAGTAAGCCTTGAGTGGGGAAAATTTTTCTGCTTAAAAACTCACCTTAGACCAGCTCAATCTGACTAAAGATTGATCCTTAATAAAGATTTCTTGGTAACAGTCTTTTATGTAGGAAAAGAAGAAATGACTATCTCTTATTGCCTTTTTTTTTTTCTTAGCAACATTTGCACTCAAGTAGAAGCAATACCAATGAGGCTGAGGTTGATAGCTGAATTAGTGACATAATGATGCTAAAGGAGTTTTAGATCGAATACTGGGTTGCCCTTTTACATTATGCGCATAGAGGGCACTCTGGCCAAGCATTTCACAAATGAATCCCATTCATCACAGGAGGGTTGCCTGATCAGTGCAAATATATCACTACCACTGAGCCAGTATCTGCTGATTCTAACCCTGGTTCAGCATGAGACACAAAGTACACATCTGGCAACGGTGTGTACTTTATAGTTTTAGAAAATGATGAGAAAAATTATATATGTTATATAACTATTTGACCTATTTTTTCAGTGAGTGACTAGCTAAATAAGCAGGTCAGGAAGGAATTAAGAAAACTGGATAATCCTCCCCTAACTAATAGATTTAGCTGTCAAGGGAGAGTGACAAACATATGCAAAGATTTCGTATCTTTAAATCATTATCACGTTTACTAAACATCGTCTTAAATCCTTTTCAAATATATTTTAAAGTTAGATTTAATAGGCTACTCTAAAATTTGCATTGAATCTCTTATGAAAAGATGACTAACATTGGAGATGTTAAAATATGTGTTTTCCCCAGAGGCATTTGTTAACTTCTGCATAGATAAAAATAGTAAAATGTCATATTAAGAACACAATAAATATTCATCATCTGATCGAATGGGGGGTGGTGTATAGACCTTATACTAACAACAACAACAAAAAAACCCTTGGTGGTAAAACCTAATCATAATTACTTATATACTTCCTTCAAGTATATATATAATAAGGAGCTTGACTTATATTAAAGAAGTAGCCTAGTAATTATTCCTGTAATAGAATATGTAGACAGTTTGTTCTATAATGAGCTGTCACTGCATTCTCGAAAACTAGAAAAAATATTTAGAATGGATTTTGGCATCAGATTGGTAAGAAGAATGAAACTTTGAAATACAACAACCTGCTGAATGGCATTTGCACATGTACTAAGCCTAGGAGAGAAGAAAAATAATAAAAAATACAACCAAGAGTCTGGCTTTTTTCTCCTTCAGTACAGTCTGGGTTTCTGCTTCCCTCCCAAGGTGGAGGGTGGGCATGACACAGCCTGGGGCCCTGCTGCCACAGCCACGGGCCCCCAGACTCTGACCATGACCCGGAGCCAACTGACTCATCCCATCTGGCTGGCTGTCCAGGACTGTGCATCCCCTGGCTGTGTGTCCTCAAGCAGGCACAGGCCTTCCTCCACTTGCTCAGAGGCCACCTTCTGCTGGCGACGTTGGATGTCTCACTCATCTTCTTCATCACCTACCTGATGTCCTTGCCAGCTACCATCCTCCCCGGACCAGGCCGGAGTTTCTGCTGGCCTTCTACTTCCTCTTTATTGATGCCATGCATCTGAAAGACACATGCCAGAGCTTGTGCTGGGCCATGAGGAACGTCTTGCCTTGTGTCATGGCAGCCCTCATCTGCTTCGCCATCTCCACCACCGCGATTGCCACATCCTCAGACGGAGCTTCTAAAGCAACAGGAGTATTGGATTTCTTTGCTGCCATCATGTTTGCAACTGACTTCTACCTGACTTTGAAGAATAAGGCCAAATTCCTCCAATGAGGGGTCTCCGCAGGCGACACCATAGCAGACAAGGTAGAAGGAAAGAATTCTGACTGGCCATATGGAGCCACGCTGACCCTCATTCCTACACCTTACAGACAGGTGACTTTGTGGGTTGGGAGGGAGGGGTGACCTCAAGAAGCAGCAGCTGGAATTGCTCTCCTCACAGTCTCAAGGTGATGTTCCTGAGCCCAGCACACAAAATGTCACTCCTTGGCCTAGCACTATCTAACCACTCTGCACATTAGGGCATCCGGAATGTTCTGCACTATTTCCCCCTTCTCCCCATGTCCATCCCACAGGACTTAAAAGCCTAGGTTTAAATTTTGCCTTTGCTATGAATGAATTGTGTTAATTCGGCACCTTAACCATTTGTAATCCCCCTTTTTTAACTATGCATAAAGGTTGTTATAAAAATCAAAGGACAAATTATAGTAAGATAAAACCCCTAGGTTTATACTATAACTTAAAATAATGCACATTATGTTTACTGACCAAAATGGAGACAAAAGAAGATAGAAATGAATTTGCCTATTTAAAATAAAGAAGAAAAAATGAACAAAAGAAATGAAAGAAATATTTATCCCTAAAAGCTATGGATGTGTCACTTTGGTTTTTGTTTGTGGCTTTTTTTGTGTTTTGTTTTTTTGCGGTCATCAGTCTGGTTTAATCCGACTCAGCAGTGTAAGAGATTCACATGCAAAAGTAGAACAAAGGTTACAAAATGCTCAAAGAATAGATGCAGAACTCTGACTTGTTTGCAAGGCCTTTCTGGCTACAGGAAATGTCATTTAAGAAGATGCTTTTGTCTTAAAAAAATATAAAGTCAACAAAATCCCATTGAATATACATACACAGCATAGATCCTTAGATGAACACAGAAGGCACATCTCACCTCTCCGGAGGTGGTCAAGAGACCTGCTCTGGTGTGTTGAAAGCCACTGTTCTGAGCAGGAGGACTTCTCACTTGCTGAGGGGATCCCAGGGAAAAGGAGAATTTGGCTGGCCCTGCCCAGCTAACCTGGACACTGTCACTGTTATTTTATTGTTTGATATTTTGGGCCTGGTTTACAGTTTTTCTATGAAATAGTCTTGGACACAGATTAGTCATGTCTCCAAAAAACATGGTCTCTAAGGGTGTGAGGTGCCAGTTAAGGGCACCAAGACCCACCCCTTCCTAGATGATAGGGCAAAGGCCAGTTTTCTCCCTGCCTCGAGCATGAAGAGGGAACTAGTGCACCCTGAACAAAAAAATCTTAGAAGAATCATTCTCGATGAAGCACCTGGAATGAAATGAGGAACCAGGTGCAGATGAAAAACCACTAAGGCGTGGCAGGTTGACCCTATGGTGATTTCTGTCTTACTTGCCCTCTTCCCTCCTCCCCTGCAGGCTCTATGTTGTCCCGTTGTGCTTGTTTTTGGTACAGAAGTTAAAGGGTTTACTTAAGTCCTTGGTGAACAAGTCTAATGTTTTCTACACGCTTTTCTCTAGCATATCCATTGAAAATTAGAAGATGAGCAATTCTAAAAACACAAAATTTATAGTTGAACATGGCAGAATCCAGAAGTGATATTAAACATGATCAATGATATATAACAGACACCAACCAATCAGAAGACTTAACTAATTAGCATGGACTCAGTCCCATGAGAATCTATTATTTTTCATTACTAATTGACTCTAAAGTCCCCATTATTTATTACTGAAGATTAGGACACCCAAATATAAACTTATGTATTTCTTTTTTTTTTCCCTCTTTAATTCCACCCCACCCCACCTCACCCCACTTCCACCCCTGACCTATGGATGTTGCCGTCTCCCCTTAAGAAATGGATCTCTGAAGGGGGCGTGTCTCCTCCCATGCGCTCACAGCACACCTGGGGCCTGGCACCCCCGGTGCACTCTGGGGGCCTGGCGCACCCTGGGGGTCCTTGGCTTTACCTGGGGCGTGAACCCAGGACCTTCTGTGTGTAAAGCAGATGTGCTAACCACTACACTATGGAGCCACCCCAGTTTGTGTACTTCTTGTTCTGGGAATGCATTTTCTTATGAAAATTTCTTTCTACCAATAGGTCAAAAATGTAATGAAAAATATCATGGCTGGATTGCAACAAACCAACAGTGAAAAGATTCTCCTGAGCTGGGTCCGACAATCAACTCGTAATTATCCACAGGTTAATGTCATTAACTTCACCACCAGCTGGGCTGATGGCCTGGCTTTGAATGCGCTCATCCACAGTCACAGGTAAGGAGACTGCAGAGCCGTTGAATGAGTTTTTATAAGTACTAGTTTAGAAACTGACATTTTTTTTCTCCAATGTCGTTCCAGATCATTTCTCACTATGCAACATGTGATGCTTGTTGACCATATTGATCTAACCATGCACTGAATAAGAATATTTATTTTATTATTTTTTTACAGCAGAAAAGAAAAGCTTTATTAGAAGCGAAAGTATACTTCCAGACGTGGAAGCGGGCCTGAGCAAGAGAAGTGTGGCTCAAAAGGCCTTTATTCTATTTTTATATGCTATATCATTTAGCTGTTGAAATGTTGAAATTACTGGAGCATGAATGTGGTTATGGTGGGGGAAGGGATCAACATATTTTAAATTGGGATTCTGTAAGACAATTAAGGTTATATTCTAACTTTGCTAAGAATGCAGTTGGTCTTTCTATACGAATGTGTTAGTATGAGTTCAGACTGCAGAGCTAAAAATGGTTCCAAATCTCATGAGTGGCTGCAGTCAAATTAATTACCATCAGCAGATTAATAATGAGAAAAAGAAACATTTCTTTTGTCCAATACACACTTGGATAGCAAACACTATAAAGCCCTGTATATTTTTTATTTCAGGCTTAAAAGAGGCTCTGAGCATCTTAGCAACCAAGGCAAAGAGCAGACCACAATTAAATCTATGATTCAGTGCTCAGAATATCAAAAGAAACAATTGCTCTGGAACAGCAAAGCAATTGCTATAAAGCATGAGAGTTCATCTGTGGATTTTCATAAAGAGAATTCAGTGTAATGTAGTAAACCAAATGTCCTTAACTCTATTCCATACAATAATATATTTTCTAAGATAACAAAATACTTGTTAGTATTTTCATATATAAAGAAGTTCAGTAAATGAATTAATAACAGTTCAAGAAAAAGCAAAATAACATGGTAAATACATGTACATAATGCATTTGTATGTATTCTATATAATATATAAATATATAATATGCACAACATTTACTGTAAGAGATATCTACTTTAGTTTTCCTATTATCCATCTCTTTTACCCAGCCCAATCCCTAGGGTCAAATACATTACTTTATTAACTTTGTTTGAAATGCCATTGGACTGCATCTTCCCTGATTTTTAGTGTAGTTTATCTTTTCTCACTCTGATCTCTCTTTTCTTGACGAGTCTACCATTTTCCTATGCCAATCTTGCTTTTAGAAAAGTCCAGATTATAAATTTTCTTCATGGTAAAGCTCAACCCAAGAGCAAGCACTCTCTAAATAAGTGCCTTTATTAGGCACCTTGCTCTAGCTGGGTTTTATTAACCCCATCCAGACCGAGTTTCCAGGTGACTGACTCACAATCTGATTTTTAAAGGAGGCAGCCTCTTACTCAGTGAGCATATTAAGTAATGGTCATACCTTGTTTTTCATAAGTATGACACGAAGAAAAATACTCCACAGCTTCAATACAGCCCGATGAGAAGGGATATAGATGTTTATTCTGCATTATAAGTCAGTACTCACTTATGCAGCCACATGCTCCCACTAGGGGCCTGAACATGCTGATCTTGTACACATTTGCACGTGAACGAGATAGTGAGGATAAGATTATGCCTTGTTGGCTCTTTATCATTTTCTTTTCAAGTGGAAGAATTCAATCCTGTAAGCATGTTAACACACATTTGTTCATGTTCTATTACATGATTTCTGAATATATTTGTAAGTAATACAGTAAACATATCCGGATTGCCCTGCTGCATTTGTACCTGACCTACTCTTTCTTTCACAAAATATCTTCATTTATATATTCTCTCCTGTCATTTTGAATGAATCATCCATAACTACCTTTTTATGTATAACGTTACTTTTCAAAAGGTTTCTCAACAGTTGATAATGTTCTTTCATGAATCATCTCCCTCTTCTTTTGGTCTTTGACAGATGTTCATATTGTTTATCTAAAGAAAAAAGGGTTGATTTTTTTTTCCAAGGTGATTGCCATTAATGCATTTGAAAATGTAATGAGATGTCCTCATTTCAAGAATTGAGTGACTAAGCTATATAGAAGAACAAAGGCATGCATTTCATATTAGAGCATTAGGGATTGACAAAGAGTTTTGCCAAAGGTTAGGATGTCAGTGATTTTATATCTATTTAAGGCTCAATTTTATCTTAATATGTAGGAAATTAATAGTATTATATTAAAACACAAAGTACACTAACGTGCAGTTAAAAGGAAGCCAGATTCTACTTCTGTGGGTAGAACCAAATTATAATTATGCAGATAAGTTGCAATAAGTATAAAGTTTCTATTAAATTTTCTTCCTAATTGATTGTTTTAATTTATTACCATAGAAGTAACATACCACATGGTTTTTAAAATGTCAGACAATGGGGAGGTAGTAAAGGGGAAAAAAAAAATATGTCTTCATGACTGCAAACCCATCCCATCACATTCTAATTCCTAGAAGTAGTCACTAAGTCCACAACTTCTTTTATCCTTTCCGATGGTCTTCATGATTATACACTTTTATTTCCTGATTAGTTTGTTGACAGTATATGGATTTACTCCTTAATATGAAACTGTAAATCAATAGTAATTTTAGACTGTAATATAGACTAAAATGCATTTATTTGAGAAAAAGGAGCTGCAGCCCGGGAAACACAGATTCAGGTAGCAACCTAAATTATGTTCCACCAAAACAAAGGGGAGGCTGTCTTTTATGGCTAAAGCTCTTATCCAGGTTCTCAATTAGGTCCGTTTTATGTAAATGAGGTATCCACATTATGTAGGTCTGATTGTACGGGCCAGGTCTATGTCTCTTGGTAGGCAGACAAAACCAAGATCTCCTGGCCATGGTTGACTCAGAGGGCAGAAACAAGTGGAACAGAGTGTGAGAAGCTGAGAGTTCAATCTGAGGTTCTTCCCAGTATACAGAGTACATGAGGAGCCACTGTCAGCAAATGGCCACTAGGATCTAATTATTTATAAAATTTGGGCCCTAGGTTGACCATGGGGAATCCATCTCAGCAGATAGATTCCTTCTCGGAGTTCACATCAAATGGATCTTTCTTTTTGGGGTCCTGAATTCTCATCCCCATTTTTTCCTAATTAGATTACTATATTATAATCCTTTTTTCTTATAATTGTTGCCTGTGTTACTTAAAATGATAGCAGTGCAACATTTTTATCAAGTCTAGACAAGATCTGTTGACTACCAGATATGAAGAAGGAGGAAGTTATCACACTTATACTTACTTTCTCCTCTTTTCTCCTCTCTACCTTCCATTTTGTTATTATATTATCATTCTTGTATCAACAATGTTTGTAACATATATACCTGTTTTGTAAGTGTAGGCGTTCTTGGCTTGAGTTTATAAATTGAAAATGCATTGCTGTTATTTTATAAATATAATTGACCGTAGAACAAAGTGATAGAAATGAATGTTTTTAAGCAATTATTATTTTGTAGGTGCTGTTCTAAATAAAATAGCCCATCCATTTCTCATGACATAGATCCAATGATTAGCCCCATTTCACAAATTAGAAAACTGTAGCACAGAGAGGTTATATGATTTACCTAAGACCATTTGGCTGGTATGTCGTGGAGCCAGGATTTGAATTTATAGAGGACTCTGCTTATCTATCAGCCATGTTGTCTCATTCAATATGCTAGTTTCCTCAAAAGACTGGTGATCCTTCATTACACATTCTTATTTATGAGTTACAGTCTAGGTTAGCATGGGAAGGTGTGTGGCTTTCCTCTACAGTTAGTTTTACAATTCTTTGTGCATTTGAAAATCATAGTTATTTAAAATGTTAATGATGAATTTTAATGATTTAAAACAATTGATTAGAGTACATCAAATGCTAGAAGAGACCTCAAAGGCCATTTAGTACATTTCTTTCTTTTTTAAATGAAAACCCTCAAGCTCAAATAGGTTACATGACTTGGTAATCTTACCCAGATGATTAGTTAGTGACCAAGGAAAAGAGGAAAAGTTCAAAGAGTAAAGGATTAAAATGCAGAAACAATTCTATTATTTTCCATCAGGCTCATTTAACTTTGATTACAGTACTGTAGTTGAGAAAATTAGTTTTCCGTACTCTCCCACCTGAAGATTTTTTTTTTTACTCCTATTACTGGGAAATGAAGAAATGAAGATGGGGCAGAGGTTGCATAGAGAAGTTCAAGTTGCTTCAGATAGTCTAGAATTTAACTTTTATTTCTTATAGTCTTTGCACTACTAGAAGCATCTCTGAATTGATGCATATTAGGTTGTAACAGATTATTAGTTGTTTTGGGTAACGGAGTATATTGGGGAGATTAGATTTCCTAAGAAGTGCACAAATTTCTGGTGAATTAATCAGGCTAGGAGCAAGTAAAGAAAAGGAAGTGAGAGTCAAATGAGAAGTAAAATCATACCTTTATATTGAGTTATAGTTTTGGAAAATAACAGTTAAGCCCATTCTTGTAACTTCTTCCCTTGCAGAGCATGAGTTCTTAATCAGGAGTTTATGGACAGACACAAATGTCCTAAAATTCTATGTAAATCCTATTTAAAGATATGAATAGAGATCTGTTTGGGGAGACATTTCATAGTGCTCATCAGATTCTCAAACGTAACTACAATCCAAAAAAGTTGAAGAACCACTTAACTAATGATTTCCAATGTTATTGGGATAAATTTCAATTCGTTAACAGCCAAGGCCTTTTGCAAACCCATCCCAATCCCCCCTCCTAACCATATCTCAATGAAATTTCCCAGTGAAGCCAGGCTTCCGAGGTCTTGACTGACTAAGCACATTCTGCTTCTTTCTTCCCTAATAACTTTGATTCTTCAATATCTACACAACTTAAAATTCATTCTCAAATACTTTTCTTATATCTAAACCCAGACCACCATTTAAAACTTCCTTAGAGTCAAAAAACGTTCTTGACCTCTTCAGATTTCAGAAAACCTTGATCTTATTATCTGCATTTTTCTCATTTTAACTTTATTTAACTTATGTTGACGTATGCATTTTTTTCTCATTAAAATTAATATAATATAAAAACTGCCTCTTTATACTCCTGGGTGTTTTCTCTATTATTAAGTAAGATGATATTCATATAGTATGTTGTCTGGTGTAGTCAACAAATATTTATCAAGCCCCTACTATGTGTTAGGCTGGGTTTCTAGAAAGTGAACAAAACTGGCAAAAAAAAAAAAAAAATAGGCTGTAATTTAAATTCTACTGGAGAAAACAGATAAATAGACTAAATTAGTTAAAATGTTTAAATGTTAAATAGTAGTAAGTGCTAATGAGGAAAATATAAAACAATTGAGAGGGAAAGGAAATGAGTATATGTAAGTTTGATTTGGGAACATGTAATTTTAGATAGGAGGAGGACTTTTGAGTAAAGACCCAATGGATCTGGAGGTGTGAGCCATGTTGTTATTTGGGGGAAGATAATTCCAGGCAGAGGGAACAGCAAATGCAGGAAACTATCTAGCCTGTTTGAAGAATACAAGGAGAGGGGCAAGAAATAAAGTCAAGGAGTTCATGGGTCACCAGATTATGTAGGGCCTTGTAGGTCACAGTTTAATCAGTGAATTTTACAGACTCATAGATACAGAAAACAAACTGATGGTTGCCATATGGGAGGGGAGTTGGAAGGTTTGGTGGAATAGGTGAAGGGATTAAGAAGTACAAATTGGTAGTCACAAAATAGTCACGGGGATGTAAAGTATAGCATACAGAATATAGTCAATAATATGTAATAACTGTGTAGTGCAGGTGGGTACTAGAATAATCGGGGAGACCACTTCGTAAATTAAATGTCTAACCACTATGCTGTACCCTTGAAACTTAAATAAAATAATATCAAATGCCAACTGTAATGAAAAAACATTTAAAGGTTAAAAAAAGATTTTTACTCCCCGGATAGCAGAGATTTGAGAAGAAGGTTATGATGAACAATTTTAACAGATCACTATGGCAGCTCTGCTAAGAATAGATTGATGAAGTCATGGGTTGGAGTATGGGAGCAGTTAGAAGGCTAATGCAATCCATACAAAATAAAATGGTAGTTTTGGATTAGGGTGATGGCAGCAGGATAGTAAGAAGTGGTTAAATTCTGGATACATTTCCAGCTATGTGTTGCACGGCAGTGAAGGAGTCATCAAAGTTCACTCCAAGGTTTCTCTTCTGAACAATTGCAAGTTTGAACTTGTCATTGGTTATTGAGGAAGGGAGAATGCAAGAGAAGTAGGTGAGTTTGAAGGAGTGTGACGAGGATGAATATCAGAAGCTCAGTTTTGGACACTTGAGTAAGCCAACAAATCTAGAATCTGGAATTCAAGAAAGAGGTCTGGACTAGGTTTATAAAATTGGAAGTTACTAGCGAATGGCTGGTATTCAGATCCATGTGATTAAATGAGATTAACACATTTTTGCTTGGATAAGGTAGAATAAATTCTTTTTTTTGTTTGTTTTATTTAGGATTTTCAATTAAACTTGGGCATAATTTAAATGAGAAACATTATTGAGTGGTAACGAAGAATAACGTTCTACTCTCTTAAAGATTCTGGGCATAGGTTGTCAATTAAAAATCAGAATTGAAGTGTATTTTATGTAACGTTCTAAATTGATTTATATTTGTTGTTATGTGTGTGTGTTTCAGGCCAGACCTGTTCGATTGGAATAGTGTGGTTTGCCAGCAGTCAGCCACACAAAGACTAGAACATGCATTCAACATTGCCAAATATCAATTAGGCATAGAGAAACTACTGGATCCTGAAGGTTGGTGCATTTCTGGACTACCACTGTTTTTAACATAGTTTAATGTTTATCATCATACACAAATTTCCACAAAGTAAGCACGAAGTAGAAACTATGCATTATATGTTTTTCTATATTTCAGGTGTATTTAAAATGTTCTGTCTTCTAGCAATGTATTATGAATTGTCCTATGTGAGTTTAATTCTCAAAGTCTCAATGTCTGAAACTAAAGTGTAAAACTTTGGGGGAAAAGAAATCAATGCCTTTAGAGTGTATATGCATCATGAATGGGGCATACTACATTTAGAGTACATCGACTCCAAATAATTATAAGAAGTTCATGTTTTGTTTATTCTACTGAGAGATTTGATAGACTAATCAGCTATAATTAATTAGCTACTCTTGCCAATTTTATTCATATAATCCATAAAAAGAAACATGGTTTACCGTTTAAATCAGGAAATCTATTCCTGGCACTGCTTCTGTTATAGTTTGTCACTCTGGGGGAAGTCTTCCATTGGATGGTTATTCATTCTCTACTTCTTTAGTTGACAGGCAGCTCTGTATTTATATTTTTATTATATTATAGTTAAGTGAATTTCATCCTTATCTCTGGTGCTATATAGGCATACCCTCCAGACACATGGATTACAGGAATAATAATTCCTGACCTCTGCTTTTCTTCTGACCTGTGAGGCACTTTTTTGTTGTTGTTCACCAACCTCTTTGAAATTGCAGACTCTGTTCTCTCTTTTTTGAGGCTTTACCCCACTCTAAAAACAGAAGTTGGAGAGGCAATGTCAGTGGTATTGATATCTGAGATATGATACAAGCTGATATTTGGGTAGGGTTGTGTAATTCACTGGGTTTTGGAACATTGAATCAATTCCAAATAAGGAGATCCTCGAGTTGAGGTGACAGGTCCAGTCTGATTAGGAAAAACTCAGAAATAACTCAGGGGATAGCTTTTCACTGGTGAATTTTTCACCAACTAGAATCTGAGCCTCAGTGCTATAGGTCCTGAAACCTGATTGCCTCATCTTATTGAGAGCAGATCCCTGTGGTAGGCGTGGGGGTGGGAGAGTTCCCTTTAAACAAGCTCAAAAAAAAAAAAAAAAGAAAAAAAGAAAAAAAAATAAAGAAATATCAATCAAAATGGAAATTCAGTCATTTAAAATGAGATGTTTATCACAAGAACCAGAATACTCATATCTAATTGACCAATATATCACTTTTGGTAAGCACAGGTACTTGGCAAGGAAAATTATAACAGTGCAAGTGTGTTTCTGAGGTTGGAATCAGATTAAATTCATTAGAAACGTTTCTTCTCCTTTAGATAAAGCATAGCAGAGCACTGACTCCCGTAACCTCTTTTCATTGCTTCAGTAGATGATTAACATCCTTCCTGCCCCAGTTTAGCTCTAAGGGAGAAATTGTATCAATCGCATTTCTTTGTTTTGCAGGATCAGGAAGGGTTACCTCACTATTGACTTCTAGTACCAATTTACATGTTTTTTGGTTTGTTTTTTCATATTCCATTTAGGTAGAGAGGGCAGATGTAATAAAAATATGAACTCTAACCCCTGAGTAAGAGCTACAGTATATGCTTTGTTTATCATTAAATCTACATATGGTAGTCAGTTCCCCTTACCTGGAATATATGCTGTAGTTATTCTTATGTGTGGCCTATCCTTTCATAAAATAGTAAGAGTAACTTAAAATAGGTATTTTTCTCATTAAGTGGTAAATGACTTTTGATCTCTAAGTCTTTCTTTGAATCATTGAAGTACAGTTACCTAGATCAGTATCCACTTCATAATCAGTAAGTAGATTGATAAGCCTGTAATTAGAAAAGGGCAGTTATATAAATAATGTATTTTATAGGATAAAATAGTCTTATATACACAATTCTGTATGTTCAAAACAGAAAGCGTATGTTGAAATGCACATCATCTAGGCTATAAGAATACCATTATAATATCTGAAACTGACAATTAAAAGTCAACCAAATATAATATGAGATACAAGCTGATTAATAGAGATCAAACCACTGGTTATGGTTTCATCTTCAATCTGAAACCCTTTCTATTTATGGAAAGGCTTCCAATTAAAAGAGCATTCTGTTTCCTAAAATGCTTTATTAAAATTTATTTATGGCTGTCAATAAGATGAGGATTCGGCATAAATCTTATATTTTTAGATTATCAATTTCTGTCAGTATGTTAGGGAAGTACTCAAATATGCACTTGAAAATTCTTGCTCAGTATTTTTCAAGTAATCATATCAATGGTAATTGAAAGAAAAAATATTAACTAAATCATAAACCTTTTTATTTACTGATGTTAGTCACAAAAGACAGAATAGCACCTTTTAGAATCTAAGACTTAGGATACTCTCTTCTGTGTGTCTAACAGAGGAGATTCATGGACTTCCTTCATGCCTTGTATGGCAATTACCTTTGGGAAGTTCATATTTTTATTTAACCAAATATTGATTCTTTAGATTATGAATGACGATGCCAGCTATTCTCCAAAGCCATTTTCATTTCATATCTAATATGCCCCTTGGGAGGTTAATGAAACATTTTGCTTTATGTTTGAGGAGATTTTTATTATTAGGGGATTGAAGTTACATTTGGCTTAAGAAATACCTGCCAAAGATGTTTTTTTAGAATTTTAAACATATGCTTTGTTGATTGGGTTGATTTATAAATTAAAAAGTCATTGTAATATAATTTGGAGATTTTCATATCTTGTATATATCAACTTTGTTATGCTGTATTTGGCCTTAACTGGTATTTTGAGACCTGCGGTTTGTTTTTAAGTTGAATTCCTTTTTAAAATGAGTAGCAGTTGCACTACTACAAGCGATTTTACAAAGTATTTCTGGTGTGCTTAAACATTAACAAATACAAAAATAAATACTATGAGGGTAAAATTATTTAATAATTTATGCATCTTTATGCTCATAGATATAAAAGGTTTATCTCCTTCAGAATATATTCTATTGTGAATCAGACGATTCACTTTCTATCATGATTTCCCTATAAGACATACAAAGTATATGCATTGTAGTTTTCATAAACATTGTTTGCTTCCCTGAGTTTCAAACAAATTGGTTTGTTTGCCAATCCACGTACTTTCTGCATTAAGAGAACACTTTGTCAGCTTTTTCTTGTGAATGACATAGTGAAGATGTTCTTTTTAAAGGAATAAAAAATAGGGAATAAAAAATCATCCTGGTTCTAAATGACTTTTGCATATAGTACTGTTGTACCATCATTTTCACTCAGGCTATGCAATATGATGTGGAAATGCTCTTCCGTATTAACCAGGGTAACCTTAGTATGAAAAATGAATGATGAGAGTTAAATCTGAGGAACACTTGGGCTTGTGAGAAATATTTATAACCTCAAAATGACATTTACAAATCAATTAGTTTGGTTTTTATCCATTTCATTTTAACTTCATAAGGATGGTGACACAGATGCTATTTTCTGCTTGGCTAATCCCTGCATCACTCTTCACTTGATTTGAGTCAACTTTTCCAAGAATTAGCTCTGCCATTTGGAAAGTTTTACTCTTGAAATGGTCTCAGACTAAACTTTGCATGCGTGCAATTTATTAGTCTTTAAAAAAAATATTCAAGGACAAGTATATAGAATTTGCTATAAAAGAGAAGAATGTTTTTAAGGCCTGTTATTTGAGTTTGATATCAATTGTTTGAGCAAGTGGTGTTTTTTTCCTTCCATCTTCGTTCCAATCATCACATTTTGATACACTAACAAGAAATGTTAGTAAGTAGTTTTCGTTAAGTGAAATGGAAAGAGTAAAATCATACCAATTTAGAGGAATGTTTTTAACTTAAAGTAACCAGAATTTTTTATGGACATGCATATTCCTTTTGTATCATTTAGATTGATTTTTTTTCCTAGAACCCACTGTAAAATATTTTTGTTTTCAGAAAATGTAATGAGGTTGAAATAAATTGATTTTCCTCATGTGTATAACATTTCAACTAGAAAATATTATTGTAACTAAGACTCTTTAGAGCCAAACTCTCTGTAGTGCAAAATGTTCTTTTGTCATATATTAAAAATGATTTTAATAATACATATGTAAATAAAAATGGCCATTGCCCTTTTGATAACAAAGTAACTTGTACAAAATATATATTCCTTTGTACTTTTTCGTATTATTGACTTATATATTGTTATCTCTGGCAGAGAGTCTTTAGAGATATTACAAGTTGTTATCTAAAACTAAATCTTGAGTTTCTTGGAAGAACTGTTCTTAGTCTAGTTATTCTGCTATGAAAAATAGAAAGTATCATCATTTGCTTATACAGATATGATAATAGCAAAATAATGTTCCTGTTATATCAGCAGGAGACCACTTTTTCCAAGGTGTCTTTTTTTAAGAAACATTAAAATTTGATCATTAAAACCAAATTATGTCATGTAATAATGTTAAATGTAATAATAATGAAAATATTTCTTAAATTTTGAACTTCAGAAGATTACAGTTGAAATGAACAAATTAGAGAAGGCATTATTGTATTCGCAAAGGAATGGAGGTACATGAGTAGATTTAGTGTTGTCATTTCCTTTGCTTAATATATATTCAGCACAACCTTTTAGCAAAGGAATTTGGGAAACACTGTTTTAAATAATTTACATATATTCTTCTATTAGCATTGGTTAGAACCGAGACTAGCATTGATACATAATGAGGCTTTAGACAAACTGATGGCCATGTAGAAGTCCAGAGAAATGTGGTTAATATATCCCTGGCTTGCATATCATTAGAGTAAGAGTACTTATTAGAATTTCTTTGACTATTTTTAGATTTTATCCTGAACCTTACTTTTTTTACACTTCTCCTTTTTATGGGCAGATATGTTGCATACCTAGCCTTGACTATGCACTGACACTTTAATATACTTTAATGCCTTTGAGTTAAAGATGACTTTGATTTTAATAAATCCTCAGATTTATCATTATTACTATATTAAAAATGTCT